AGGCAACGAATATGGCCGCTGAACTGCGTGTGAGGAAAATCGAAACGCGGCCCGGGCGACATATAGTGCGTCACATTACCGGATAAACGGACTGTGACTACAAACGCGGGCATATGTGAGGTCTTTCGAGATTATTTTCAGGAGCTACCAGGGCCCGGTCTGAGTTCTGCTCAGTTCGACGCCTATTTAGCGGACTTTCCCTGCCTCTCGGCAGCTGAAGTGGCTAGGTGCGAGGGCCGCATAACAGAGTCGGAAATCTGGGAAGCGCTGAAGCAGGTTGGCCTGGATAAGTCTCGAAGGATTAGATGGTCTGCCTTACGAAGTGTACCAGGGGTTGTCGCGTTTTTGTACGCTGCAGGACTGATGTACAACCACTGGATGAGGCAGGGGCTTTACCTCAACGCTTCACCAGAGGTGTCATCAAGTTGCTGCGTAAGGACAAGGACGGTGGGGATGAGTTGGGAACTTTCGCCTTTAACGATGTTAAACACTGACAAAAATTTTGGCGAAGATCTTGGCCAACCGTTTGCAGCTTGTCCTGTCTGGTCTGATTGGCCTGAACAGACTTGTGCTGTGAAGGGCAGGACTATCAGGATAACCTTCATATGGTACGCCTGATCTTAGAACAAGTCGACAGTGAAGCCGCGCTGATCAATTTAGATCTGTCAGCGCCTTCGATGGGGTTGACCATCGATTTCTGGAGGCTGTCCTTTCGGCGGCCGGTTTCGGAGCCGACTTTCGCTCCTGGATCCGTCTCTTTGTATGCGACCCCGGTGCGCTGGTGGAAGTGGATGGGGTAAGATCGAAGCCTTTCGTATTGTCTCGCCCCATTCGTCAAGGTTATCCGCTATCGCCTCTGCTTTTACGTTCTTGCGTTGGAGCCTTTCCTTCGCAAGTTAAAGGCGAATCCGGTCCTACGCGGTATTTCGCTGCCTGGTGCTAACACCTCAGCCAGGTATTCTGCCTATGCTGACGACGTTTCGGTTCTTTGTGTCGAGCAGAGCCGAGATTAACGGTAGAAAGTTATTAAGCAGATCAGTGGGTATTATGAGTTGGTGACAGGGGGCCAAAATCAACCGCGATAAGTCTGGGGCTTGCGGTTGCGTGTGGAAGGGAGTTTCTCTTCCGGACCTTTCTCTGGACGGATGGGCCGATCAAGATACTGGCGTCTGGTTCGGTCCTGATCTCCAGTTGGAAAAGAATTGGTCGGAGGTACAGGGGCGGGCCGAGGGTCGCGGCTGATCTGTGGTCTCGGAGGGACTTTCCTGAAGGGAAGGGCGGAAGTTTGTGGATTTCCATCTATCCGGTTACCCTCTACCGTCTTTCGCGCTTCCACTCCACGTGTGCCGACAACATCGTTAGTCAAGGCCTTGTTCTCTTTCTTGTGGAAGGCAAGTCCCACATGGCATCTCGCGAGATCTCTTGCCTTCATCCCTCAGAGGGCGGTCTGGGAATACCTAGCATTGAGATTCGTCAATATATGCTACGCATTACCTTGTCCGAATGTGTCGCGGTTTTATGGAGGAGGTGGGCACCTTTTGGAAAGAAGATGTCCGTAAACATTTCCCATCCCTGAGAAGTGTGCACTCGTGCGAGGAGGAGGCCAGTCGTACTCCTCGTGGCGAGTGCTCCTTCTATCGTGAATGTCGTCGCGCTTGAAGCTCCTCTTGCGGTCGTCGGTTTAGCTCCGACGCCCAAGCGTTGCACGTAAAGGCTATATCGTGTGTTAGTTGAGGGGCCGTTCAAGATGATCTGATCGACGAGCTCCGGTCTTACGAAGCAGGAGGCTCGCTCGATATGGCCTTTGGGCGCCTGGGTTGAAATATCTCAATAACGATGAGGCATCACTCACCTGGCTGATGATTGTGTGGGGGCCTCTGGTCGGCAAAAGACTTTGTTCAGCAGGCTTGGAGAAATATCGAAACTGTCGTCGCTGTACTGGGAATGTCGAGACCATTGGTCACGCCTTTTTCAGTGCAGTGCGGGTAGTGATACTCGTTAAAAGTTCGTTGAAGAAGGCCTCATGGTTCGCATGCTGCAGAGGATTTTTTGTCCTGGAGCCAGTTCTGTTTGTAACAATAATGGCATCGCAATTGATAAAGGCTGAACACTATGTGTTCTGGTTGCTTACTAGGGGTTATGCGAGGTCGTGATTTGGACGACGCGACAGAAGGATTCTATTATGAAGGCGAGAAGTTCACCTTCTTCCCAACTGATCTTGTACTTTGGGCATCAGCTTAAAGTCAAGATTAGGACAGAGCAGGCGGCTCCATCATCAGAATTCAGCAAAAGGTGGGTAATCTTGCGCGCGAATGTAGAAGTGAAAGGGCTGACCTAGAGGGCATTTAGATGTCGGTTAGGCAAAGAATATTGTCTCTAATAGGGTTGAACGTAGGCAACCCACAGATATTAAGTTAGACTAGGTTTTGTTTTTGAATATTTAGTTTTCCTTTTTTTCCTGCTTAACTTAGCTAGGTATGTAAGCTCATTGGTCCCTTTTATTTCTGTCCCTTTTTTTACTTTTTGTTTAATTCCCCCATCCTCCCTCGTTAGGGTGGTTAGTGATGTCGGTTTTCTGGTGGATGGGGACGCCTTTGTTTCAATTGTGTGTTTTCGTATTTGTTGTTGTGTATGAATGAGTGGAGTGTTTGTGAATGCTTGATGGTCTGAATGTCTACTTATTTGCTTAGTCCCATCGATTTCGTCTGGTTAACTGACATTTCTGCCACATTCATAGTTTGTGGGGGTTTTATTACTAACTCAGTTTTGTTTAGTTTTATTGTAAATATTATTTCACTCTGTAAATACGCATTTGGGGACCTTTTAAAGTTATTATTTTATGACCTCCCCCATGAACAATATTTGTATATATGGGGACTAGTTAGGACGTCATAGAGAAACTGAGGTATTATGGTGGACGTAGTAAGAATGGTAGGAATGTGATGTTTTGGTGATTGGTTTTTATTGTTGGCATGTTTAATCAGTGTCTGCGACTAGCTAAGTTTAGATTTAAGACAGATGAAGACCGTCATTCCCTTCCCCTTTCGGCCTTGTGCCAAATTTTGTATATTTTCATACAAATAAAATATTGTGGGATTTCAACTGCCAAACGAATCCACGACAGTTGAAACTATGCGCCAACTTTCTCACTCACACACACCACTTACATGCTGAACATACCCTGTACACACTCACATAAACTCTTCTTACACAGCAATATCTTTCAAGAACAATCATTACAATAGACTCTCATGAACATTCTTCCAGTGAACTTTGGAACACTAAAATAACTGTTAAAGAGAGACAACTCTTGGTTAATTCAACCTTTTCTTACTTAAATGCATGCTTTCCTTCACATCGTTGTTTGATATTGTACATCTTGTTAAATACATATTTTATGTGTAACAATGTCTTTTGCTTATCTTTTTCTGCGTGGGCCTTGTTTCCTAATCTAAAGTTAAATTTATGTGGTGAAGTCTGGCACAAGAGAATCAGAGGGAAACAACGGGTAACCTACTTAACGAGAATGTGTAAAAAAAATTTAAAAAATGGATGGCAGAATATGGAGAGTAAAACAGATATACAATAGACAGGAAATTGTAGAGGGCTATGATCGCCCGCGCCCTGAAGGGACACGGCATATAAAAATGTTTTCTGCTGTAGCTAGTGTTTTTGCAATGTTTTGATAACTTGCTTTTATTGGATTTTTCCCAGAATATTCACTCACTGTGTAAATAGGGATGCATAGCCGTGTGTCTTTCATATTTTATTTTTAACATTTTTTTCTTTCTTTCTTTCTTTTTTTTTTTTTTTTTTTTTGGTGTTGGAGGGGTATTTAGAAAATAACGACTGCGTCTAGCATTAATAAATACACTGTAACCCGGATATAAGAGAGTTGTCTTGTCGGGACCGGAGAAGAAGTCTCTTATATCCGGGTTTGGTCTATTTTTTTTAGGTAAGTATGGGCTCTAATTTGGGACCAGAGAAAATCTCTCATATCTGGGTTTCTCTTATATCCGGGTTACACTGTACATTGTTTTTATAAGCAACTTAAATTTGACTAAATCTTCACTACGCTTGCTTAAGCAACTCAAAAAAAATCTACCAATAATGAAAAGGGTAAAAATAAAATGACACAAAAACAGTTTTTGAATATATTTTTATTTTACCGTGATCAAGAATTTTACGTTTCACTAGTTTATTTATTTTTCTTTTGTGTTTCAAAAACCCAAACAAAATTTAAAACAATGAGTCTTCTTGCGCAAGCCACCAGACTGGTCAAAAATTCAAAATCTGTTGTTTAAAGAGTAAAGAAAGAAAGACTGATCATCATTTCGTGTTAGAATTAAAAAAAAAAAATTTTATTAATCAGCATAGCTTCTTTTTTTTTTTTTTCCTGGCATGGTGGCTCGCAAGCTTGTCTCGCAGACGTTCATGTAATAAGTTCGATTCTCTTACTTAGTGCCTCAATAATTCAAGGCAAAAACTAAGCTGAGTAAATACTCATACAGATATGAAACTAAAACAGGCAGAGTTATCGGTCCTTTGTAAATATTGCGCAGAATTGCCAGCAGGGGGCGATAGAATATTTGGTCCCTGCAATGGCGTCATGTTAGCCTAAGAACTGCTCTGTTTCATCATAATGTACACAGATAGAACTCAGTATGTTTATGAAATGCCAGCCATTTGTTGATTTTCTCTCACTGGCTGAATTATTTATAGTCGTCCATGGATTACTACTGTAAGTGATGGATATAAAGAAGAAATTCAAGATACTCATTGGTAAACAGGTGAGGTGTCAATTGCAAACGTAATAATATGTTGTTTGTTTGTATTACCCACCTGCATTTTGCTTTCATCTTTATTCTGCAACAGTATTTTTTTTTTAAATTTAGCTTTGTTATATCTGTTTTAGACTATTATGATGAATGTGTTTGTCTTCGTTGTTAATTGTCCTTCACCATAACATGACATAAAAATGGTGCACATCTTGATGAGTCTTCTTGACGTATACACACAAAAAAAAGCTGTGTCTCTTTCTGTGGGTGTGTCGGCTCTTTTAATTCCAAAAGATCAAATACCTCATTTGATGTTATTAATTTCTTAGGTATATTAGAATTTCATGTATATATAGTTTTCACTTGCATATTTTTATTTTATTATTTGGAGTGTAGAGAAGTGTAAAACTGATTTCACAGTACAGTACAAATAAACTAAACACAAAATAATAAATTAAAATTTTTTTTTTTTTTTTCGCTTTCATGAGAGTTTTGTAATCTTAAAAAATAAAGTGAAAAGACAACATCAATTCTTGTAAAAGCTAAAAAATACAGAAAATAAATCCATCTTAAAACGGATAGGAGACGATTTTTGTTGGGACATTGTGGTGAAGTTTTTATTTTTTAATTTAATTATTTTAATTACATAAAGAAAATTAGTTCTTCCAAGCGATGTTATTGTTAAATTAATTGTAAGAAATTGTAATTTTTTTTTTTTTTTAAAAAAAAAGCAATAAGCAAAAGAAGTTATGTGAAAATTGCTTGAAATATGAGGTAGGGTAAAAAAAATTCAATTATCAACGTAAAATTGAATTTATTCTGTAAATCTTTTTTTATGCTTTCCTCGAACACATTTTTGTGCACTTATAAGTAGTTATTTATTTTTACAATCTATTAATTAATTATTAGATTTTTTTTTCTATTTTAATTTTCTTATTTCACGTCATGGTATTTTTCTAGATTTGCTTTGTAAAGGAAATCTAATAATCAGAAAGTAAATTTATGTAATAATTAAATTATTAACAGTAACTGAAGTAGAATTTACTGGCTTTTATTATTTAAGTTTAATAATCTTTATCTTAAGATAAATATACCGTACTGATAGACGTTACCTTTTTTTTACCTTGATATTTAATTTTTTCACTAATCAGTCAGATGGAAATAAAAATTATTCTAAAAATTGATACAAGCTTGAAAAAGAATGATACACGACTACACTTTTTTTGTGAAGCCACAAATGAAATTAACTGGTTTAATTAATAAAAATACTGAAGAAAAGAAAAAAATTACATGACATTCCAAATCTGAATTTCTGACGTTGAAAAAAAGCAAAACTAAAAAAAAACGGAATGTTTTTCGTTATGTTCTTTGTTTTGAAAACGGTGATTAATTCACACATTGAATTACAAAATTAAAAAAGTGATGTAAAATTTTAAACTTGTGTATATCAAATATTGGGAATCTGGCATTATACAAAAAAATAACACCTTCGTCTACTTTTCTTTAATAATCTTAAGATTTTAAAAAAAATTATGCGAATTAAATATTGAATGCAATATAATTCCTTGTATTTCTCTGCACGTCCACGTTTTAAAAGTTTCAGGCCCACGCGCGTATAAGTTACTAATAGTAACTTACTATTTACCTGGCATCCACTAAGGCAAGATATGGCACAAGGTCGTTTCATTTTACTTGGGGAGCCCATACGTATATACTATGAAATGGACCAAGAACAGAAATTGTCCAGTCCTCGCGACTACTGCCACGCCGGCGTTGGTATTATTATTACATCTCTTGGTGGAAGGTGTTGCTGTGGGGTTGGAATCCCCGGGACTGGCTGCCTTCTCCCATCTAAAATGAAAACAGTTTGCAGCTCCACTTCTGACCTAAAGCGAACTCCTCACTTGGGACAAAATTGCTCAACCTCCCCATCTGACAATTCCCCTTTGGCGGTACCTTTAAAGAGCTCGGGATTTAAATTTAATTTAACCCTGACACTCATCCATAGTAGTTGGGGAGAAGATGCACATTAATGAATTTAGTTTCGAAAATAAAATATGCAGTTTTTCAATGTGCTGTCTTGAATATTTTATGTTTTAAAACAAAAACTTTGTGGCTCTCTAATCTTATGAGCCTATCACATTCTTTTTAAAAGAAATTTGTCACTAAAGCACTAAATTTATGTAAATCTCAGTTTGTGTGTCCGTTCAAAACACTGAAATTGGCTTTAAAAAAATCATCACTGGTCTTTATAAATAAGTGATTATTTTGTTGTTTTTATGTTGCTTAAGTGTTCAAATACAAGAAAATCATTTTTTTGCCTGCTTCGGAGTTAATGGAACCAATGTATAATAGAGATTAATCAATGTTGACATTTTTCTAATAATTGTATCTTTGAAAAATCTAACAAATCTGAATTTTTTAAATATTTTTATTAGTTTTATTACGTTTGTTTAAAAATATTATTAGTAGTAGTAGTACTAGTAGTATGATTTAAAAATGGATTTTATGTTCGAGCTTGTTTTTTAAAAAATCTATCATTAAAAATGGAGACAATTTTTGTAAATAACTAGAACTTGAATGAAAAGACTGCATTATCATCATTGAGAGAACAGCATGTCAACAAAGTGATGCTAGGTTACAAAAATAAAAGGCCAATATACCTATCTTGTCACCCAGTCAGACATCCATCACAGTTAAATGGGCATGGTATAGTGACATGTTTTGATAAAAGTAGTGTATAACCTTGCAGGTGAGACTCAGATATACCATCAATTGATTATTCTAGTTGGCTCAAATGGTCTGCAATTGAGGTGTTCCCAAGCATCGAAATGTGACTCCCAAGTCACCTTGGCTGCTTTCTCCTTCAAAACCCTCTTGATTCTCCCCTACTACTCCTGCTTATGAACAGAGATGCACAGTGCCCAAATTATTTGTGAGTTTTCTTGATTTGCCGTTTAATAAAATTCTTTACCAAGTCTTTTATCTGTAACCTGACATCATCTTTTGTATCCCAAATAGTGAAGGGTTTCTGAGGATTTTTCTTAATATCTGTATCCATATTCATTTTAATCACTACTAGTGCTCATTTCACCCCAAGCAAAGCAATAAAGCCACTAAAATGCACAGAGGGTTACTGAGTGTGAGGGAATATGAGAGAAACTACTATTAAGGAGAGAGGACAAAAACAAGTATTAAAGCCACTGGACTATAATGATTGACACTGCATTTAAATTTTTGAAGATCAAAGTTTACTGTAAAGCAAGAAGCCGCAAGAGATTTCCACAAGCAAGGAGTGAGATAGAAGAAACAGTTAGCATAGAACTTATGGTTACATTTAGCCATTTCAACTATAAAATGATGATCTTACTGCCAATCTAGTACTGTACTTAAATTCATAAAGTCTAGGTACCATAGAGGAAAGTTCATCAGAAAAATTACCATGAATGTATTATAGAACAAAACACGGAAGCTACGTTAACAGTGGTGGGAAAGTGACTGAAGGAGAGATGCCAGGTCAGGACCAATAGCATTGCAAATTCTTCTTTGGATTTCATCAAGAATCTAAATATATAGCAGGAGCACCAGACCAGGTGTGGCAGCAATATTCAAAGCATGGACTAATGGCAAAAAAAAACTGTCTAGCTCAACACAGTAAACCAACTTTCCTATCTGAAAACTTGGCAAATGATTCAATATAATCTTTTTACTTCATGTCAGTGGAAAATCTTAGTCTGAAAAAGCACAATGATTCACTTTACTGGAGGTCAGCATCAGTCATGCTGATGGAAGGTAAAAAGAGTTCTCTCAGATGATTAAAAGAGAACAGTTTCTTTTTGGAGGCGTTCAAATTAACAAGCCATTTCTTGTCCCAGTTAACAACAGATTATAAGTCTTTTTTTTTTTTTTTTTTTTTTTTAGATCAACTGCCAATTTGACCTTATTGAACTGATCGAAATTACCATTAAAGCAGGAGGAAATAGTTGTGTCATCAGCATAGATGCCAAGTTGAGAACTGATGACATAATTATTGGAATAGTGATTGTTAAAATGCTACATTCTCATAGTTTATACATTTTAAAAGTTTAAGTTTTTTTGCTGAGATATTTTTATCAGAACAGATAGTCATTTCTAAGAGAGAGCACATCAAGTTTTGAAACCTTTTATAATAAAATCTGCTCTATTGGTTTACACTGTGCTGTCAGCCTGTATAGTGAAGTCCCAGAGCACTAACATTTTCAACTTTTAGCACTGGTTCTGCTGGTTGATTCTCATACGATTTTTCTACATGATGAAGGTTATAATGTTGTCACGTCTTCCAATGCAGGTATTTCCTTACACTAGATAGCAGTTCAAAGTGGACTGAACTGTTATGTAATTTCAGTCCTCCTATAAGGCAGTGGATGCTGGACAGTCTTCTCACAGATGAAGAACAAACTCGAAGCAACAGTTTGGTTCTACAAAAGGTTGGTGAAAATACCATCAACCAAACATGTGCAACGACAAAGTTTTAGAGAAAATTGAAACAAAAAGTGCACTTACCATCAGAAAGAGATTCTAGGGCACAATGAGGAAAGAGGGCTTGGCAAATTTGATACTTACAGTTCAGATTTAAGGTGAGAAGGACAGAGGAAAACAATGTATAACCTACCTAGTCAGTTTGACTAGATGAATGGCTGAGCAAGGTTTATGAAAGATAACACAAAAAACAATTTATTAAGAGTTACAAAGGACAGGAAATTATGGAGAACCATGATTTCCTACATCGTGAAGGAACATGGAACATAGAATAAAAAGAATCATGTCTGCATTTAAATTCATTTAGGGCTTGCACCTAAGGTATTAGATTGTCAATAGCTTGCTCAGCATTTATACAAACTATTATTACAATATTAATTTCATAAAAATGTCACCAGTCATAATTGCACATATGTATTTTACTGAACAGTTTGAAATACTAAGTCATGTTTTCTACTTTTCTTTTAAATTTGTGGAAACAGTTTTTAAAAATACACAACAAATTAGAAATCATCTGTTTAATTTTCACATCTATTTCTGGCTTTTTTTGTTGCAGAAGGAATTTTTATGCATGTTTTCGTGTTATTTTGTCACTGTGATGCTAATTCTCTCTTGTTCATGCTGAATCAGTTTACTGAATTCATTACTTGACCCAGGGATTGAACTCACAAACAAAAGCAATACCTATAATATAGGTATCGTCTTTACTCACAATTATTGCAATATTTAATCTACTATGTACTTTTAGAGCTTTTGACATTTGGTCATACTGATTTTCCTTTTTTTTTTTTTTTTTTTTTTTTTTATCATTTCACCTGAAGCAAGATGATAATGCCACTAAGGTGCAAGGGTTACTGGAAGTGAGAGAGAAGGAGAAAACTTTAATGAGGAGAAAAGACAAAAAATAAAAACAGGTTTCACAAAGACAGAAGATGGTGATTGGCATTGCATTTAAATTTTTGAAAATTGTAGGGAAGCTAGAAATCAGAAGGGAGTTAAAACAGGCACAAAATATACAAAAATAAATTATTAGAATAGAAAGGTTGCATCTAGCTAGCTCAACAGTAAAACAGTGAGATTTAGTTGTCAATCAGGTCAGTCAGTTAAGTGACATAGCTAATAAATCATGTGTCTTTCAATTCATATCTGACTAGGAAGAAGAATTTTCCCTCAGTAGACTGCTGTTTCTTTCTGTGATAGACTGGTTGCCAACCAAGGCTATAGGATCCAGTCTGTCCTATTGAAAAGTTGCCTTCCAAAAACTAACCAAAGTATTAAGAGAAAGAAAAATTCTTTGTCAAAAACAAAGAAAAGAGTGCTGAACTACTATCAATTCTCCTATATGGCAGCAAATACTAGACAAATCCCTCACAAATAAAGAGAAAACTAGATTCTGCAGAAGGATGCTGAGAATACCATGGATAGAACATAGGAGCAACAAGAAATTTTTAAGGAAAATGTAAACGAAAAGGACAACGGACTTCAGATGCAATGGATGAAATCTGCAGGTAAAATAAAAAAAAAGTTATGCAAGAAAAAAATTTCCAAATCGTCAGTGATGTATTTCAAAATTTGTGCCTTAGTGGAATGAGTCATATTATTTCTCAAAGTAACCACTTAGCAGCAGTGACTGGCCTTTCAATTGTAAACAAAGACAGATGTACAGTATATAAAGTACAATACATTAATTCATGCATGAGAAAGTAGCTGTGAGAAATCTATTATTTTTGTTATTTTGATCAATATATGTAATAAGATTTGGATGTGCAAATAATGTAATGAATAATGGCTCAGAATAGGTGCAAAAATACCCTTAGAAAATGTATAAATCCATCTATGATCCCCCAACTATGGGTTAAATAGTAGGATTTGGATCTGGTAAAATTGTTATTTCCCAAAAATTGTTTATGCAGTATTCACTTGCAAAAAAAAAAAATACTCTTACAATCCAAAATATGTTTTCACTTTAAATAAATCAAAAAGGGTTGATAAGTTGTAAATAAAACAAAAAAAATCCAAATTCTTCCTTATAAAACAATTCGGACATGTTTAGAGTTTTTTTTTTTTTTTTGCAAACAGGAATTGAGTTCTATCTTCTGCCATTTTTAGATGAGCCATTGTTCAAATTATTATTCTTGTTCTGTTTTTTTTTTAAATTACCATAATATTTAACATTTTGCATGTTTTTAAAAAATGAAATGGGAAAGAGACTCTTTTTGTATCCATAATGATTGTACAAAGAAGGTGTGTTTGGTTTAATGCCTGTCTTTGCTTACCTGTTTTTCTGCAAATATTACTCTACTGTTGGAATGTTCAAATTTTCCGAAAAATAACATACCTATGTTTAAAATTAATTTAAAAAAAATTTTTTAATTCAAAGGTAAAAGAATAAATTTACTATACCCAGTAAGCAAAATACTTTGGTGTATTTTAAACCCAATCTATATTGAATGGAATAAACTTTTTTTTTCTTTGCAGTAAAATCGATGTCTGCCATTTTGTGACATTTGTAAACAAGTTATATTCTGTTTTAAAAATCATGTAAAAAAAAATAAAATAAAATATACATTTTTCAAAGGTTATTTGAGTAAAATTAGAAAATTTAAAGTTTACTTAATCTAATTTGAAACAAACATTACTTGCTTTTTTAGCAGAAAACCAGTGACTTGTTTGTCAGGTGTTAATTGATGGTATTGACAGCTGAGGTCAGGAGAAGTCATCGGATGAATGGACAGAAGTGACAAATTTTACAAATTTTAAGTAAACTTATTTAACTACCTGGTAATTTTTACCAATTAACAAATATTTTAAGCAATCTAATGTTTTATTAATTATTAGGTACTTTACATCTGAAGATAGTTTCTGGAAAAATAATGATAAAATTTAAAATACTATATAACAATAGAATAAATTTAAAATTACATGACTAAGATAATATAATAATTAACATAACATGAAATTTCATAAATAAGAGAGGTACCTATAATTTTTACGTGCATCCTTTATGAAATTTTATGGTATTTTACTTATCAATTTTTATATTCTCTCAGTTATGAAATTTTAAACAACCCTTAAAACACATAACTTTTACTGATAATGTCTTGTATGAACATCCATATATAAAAAAAAAAGGCATGTTTATACACATCCAGAAACAATGTAAAGTTATTTTTTTAAATACTGGTCATTTTCAGATTGTAATAAGTTTTTAGATTTAAGATTGGTAAAAAAATAGTTTTACTTAATAAAAATATTTCCTAAAAATTTAGCAACTTTATAAATTATTGTAGTTAAAATTTAAAAACAAAAGAGCACAATTTTTGTAAAAATCCATTTTTCATCAGAAAATTTCTTTTTTGCTTCAGACAATATTATCCTTAATTTTAACATATATTATTCATAAAACAAAAGCTTTTCTAATTCAATAATGTCTTAGTTTTATTGGGTTTTGTATTTTACAATTTAGAGCTGATTTTCGGTAACTGGTCATTCAATTTTACAAAAGAAAATTGATGATTTAAATTCTTCAAAGACTTCTGCTTTTAACTAATGTAATCAATAAAAGTTGCAACTTTGAATCTCTCGAAATTTCATAAACTTAAGGGTGGAGTAACAGATATAAAAAGTAAAAATATTTATTTACTAAGACTTTCAAAAAAAAAAATTTCTAAAATAATTTCATTCGTGTGTGAATAAGTTCTGAAAGTTTCATTAAAGTGCAACAATTATTTGATTTTTGCAAGAATCACTATAAAAAGGGGTGCTAAAAATTTTTTTCATTGCTATTCCAACTTTCTAATTTTTCTTTTATGGTACTTCTGCTGATACAAGAAAAACAAGATTTTTATTCAAAATTTAAAATGTTCTAAAACAGATGAAAAAATTTACTTTAAAAAAAAAAAGAAATCTTTGTTTTTCCCCCTAATAATAACGTAAAGATTTTGACAATAAAACTTAGTTTTCTTGGAGTTTGGGGAATTTTTTTTATCATAGTATGTCACTTCAGCAAATTTTTGAATATGCCTACTCTGCGGCAATCCTGTAACTCAGTGACGTAAAAGAAAATTCTGAAATGTTTTTTTAACCATTGATATATATGCATGCATGGCTAATTACCTGACTCAGAAAAATGAAAACTGAAAAGCCAGTCTTTCAGGCTGAGCCATGGTTTTTAGCCTAATTTCAGATTTTACACAGAGAAACCTGGATATATAATCCACCTAGATTATCTCTAGTTTCTTCAAACATGGTGTCAGGGAGGTATGAATTAAAATTTTCTTTAGAAATATATCAGCCAAAATGTAAGAAGAAAAAAAAAAAATCTAAAAATGTGGGGAGAAGATAATCTAAACAAGTCTTAAAGCACAAAGAATTAGACATTTTGAAAATTATTGTCAAAAAAGAAAAAGTTGGTGTAAATCTTCTTAAATCATTTGGACAGCATTTCATTCACAACCCTAACAAAAGAGGATCATTAATAAAAACGAGACAAAACATTCTATAAAATAAATTATTTTGAAACCTTTTAACTCATTTTAATTTTGATTTATTGTTGAATATTTTAAATCTATCAATGGTCCTCCTTGATGAGGTTTGATTGAAAAGCTGACATTAAGAGTTTACACTGGCTTTTGCTTTTCTGACAGTAATTTTCTTCATATTATACTTAGCTTTTGTAACACCAACAAATTTTTCAAACATGTCTTGGTAATTAATTCTGTTAAAATTTTTCCCTATCAAATCATTGCATTCTACAATTGTATTTTTTGTAAAAGCATTCAAAATGCGTAATTATTTTAAATTTTTAGGATGCTCTGCGCTCTCCTGTTGAGGATTCCCAGATTAGTCCAGAGCAGCTGAGTACAGATCCTGCTGTTGCAAAGATTAAGGTAAGTTCCTACTAATTTGATATTTGCACTTTGTAAAAGCAAGACATCATCTACCAAATGTTTCTTCCTGAGACCAAATTCAACAGGTGTCTGAAATCAATCATTTCAAATTTTCACCATTTGTTTACTTGTGTGAGAAAGGTATTCCCTGAAAATTTCAACTTTTGGAGATCCATCCATTCTCATTTTTTAGCAGCTTAAAATTTTTTAATGGTTTTAGTACAAGCTAAAAATCTTTAAAAAAAAATTGTCCCAGAGAGAAAACTTGAGGTTTATCTAAGTCACTCTCAATTAGTACCAAAGCAAAGAAGGTGCCTCAACAATTTTGAAATTAAAGTTATGGATAGTTGTGTAAATATTGCAATACAGCTGTTGCAAGAAAGTTTTTTTCTGGTCTTCAGGGGATTTAAAAATGGGAGAAACTGAAAAATGGCAAAAATGTTTCCTTTTTACCAAAATTGAAAACATAAATAATGTTACAGCTCACTTGAAACCATTCAAAACTATATACAAGATCTGATCAAGAAATATCAGTACTGGTGCTATAAAAAGAAAACTACAACACATATCAATTCAACATTTAATCTCCTTTGAAGTAGTCCCTTTCTGAAGCAACACACCTTATTCAGCATCACTTCTGTTGATGGAACCATTCCTGGAACTACTCTTTTGGGATGGTGAGCAACTACCTTTCTTGGGTTTCGTTGAAATCTTGTTCCTTTCAAGTGGGATTTGATTTTTGAAAAAAAAAAGTCACAAGGGGTGGGATCTAGGGAATATGGTGGTTGTCTGACCTGGGGAATGTTGTACTTGGCTCAAAACTGCTGTACAAGCCATGGTCACTGACACAACCTCTGTGGTGTAGCAAGATGATCACTCTATACACTTTCCTTCCAGGCAAGGTTCAAGATCAATCTGTGCTAAGTGGCTTTGCTCTGTGTACTTTAGCTCTGTTACCACAGCAACAGTCCCAATACGTTTTTGATTAGACTTCATATATTTTGAAAGTACATGTTCACCCCCAAAAATAAAATTTAGATATTGAAACAAATTCTGAAAAAAGTTCATCCCTCCTGAAAATCGGACAAATTCAAACGTTTCTAAATTTTCTGAATTTGAAAACCTCTACTCTGGAGCCATGTTGGATTTGGCTAGAATAACCCCTTTTGGAAATATTTGTATAAAAATGAATGGTAATGTTTTTCTGTGTCAGCATCTCAATCTGAACTGATTTCAACCAAGCTTTATTTAAAACTTCTAAATTTCTTGAATTATTAAGTTTGGAAAAGATTGATTTAACATTAAACTGTTTGCAACTGATATGGGTTAAGTTTACAATATAAATACCTAATCTATCTTGCTTTTTTTTTCTTTTTTTTTTTTCTTGTACAGGTTAAACATCACTAATTTGGACCTTTACAATTCCTGATAGCTGATTTTGTCATATTACTGATGGTTACATTAGAATACTCTTATCCCAACAGTTAACCACTTCATCCTATCTTTCAAATCCCCTGTAAATTAGTAAATGTTTGTTAATAACAGAAAAATAAATATTAAATGAAAATCAATTTCCACATTATCTGTTATGGACAACATATGCTGCTTACATTTGACACGATGAGAAGCACTTCCTGTATTCATTGGGGACATGACTGGGACTATGAAATTTAAAAGGTTACATGTTTTGTGTGTATTATAGGTGGTGTACATATTCAGTACTAGCAGTATAGCCCGGCGTTGCCCGGGGATGTAACAGTGAGAGATAGATCAAGTATCGACCATCATAAAGACTGAAAAATAAAATTGACAAAGATTATTGTTTAAGGTTGACAGACACGCATGTCTTAATTAGTTTTTTTTTTTTTTTTTTTTGAATTGGTCAAACCCAAATTCAAACAAAAACATTGTTTACAATTGTTATGAGTCTATCGATTGGTGAATAGAATTTTATGATAAACAATTGTCTTGTAAATGGAATTTTTAAAGCATTCTGAATGTAAATAAAGAAAAAAGTGTGCAAGACAATAAGAAATACTACCTGCCGAAAAAAAAAGTGGATGTTTGTTTTATCGGCTGAAAATGTAAGAAATCTGATCCCATATATAAAAGGAACACACACACACACACACACAAAACAACCTGGGTTTTTTAACCTAAGTCACTCCACGGAATCGCTAAAACATAGAGCATAGTCTGATGAAAAAAAGACGCCTTAAAGTTTATGAAAACAAAATTTTATCGTCAAAATGCTTATTTTTTTATGAAGAGGATAGACTAAATTTTTTTTAATTATTTTTAAAAATTTTCCATCTTTTTAGAATATTCTAAATTTTGATTTAAAAAACCTTGTTTCTCTTTTGTCGCAACAAGGGGGTAGTAAATAACATAGATAATTTTTAGCGCATTTTTTTTGTATTTACACATTAATTTGGAAAATCTTGCAAAAATAAAAATAATTGTCAGATGTTAATGAAACTTTCAGAAACTATTCACAGATGATCGAAATTATTATAAATATTTTTTTTTTTTTAAAAGTCATGGCAGAAATATTTTTTTTATATTTATTAACACCCCATAACTAATTTTATGAAAAACTCTAGAAATTCAAGACCATCGGTTTTAGTGATTACAATAGTTAAAAGCACAAGGCTTTGAAGAATGCAAATCATGTTTTTTTTTTTTTTTTTGTCAACGTACCTGAAAATCAGCTGTGAATTGTAACATACAAAACTCAATAAAACAAATATATTATTTAGTTTCAAATGCTTTTATTTGTTTTAATTTGTTTTATGAATATGGACAATATTTTCTGAAAGCAAAAATTTTTTCAATGAAAATTGAATTTTAATACAATTATTTCTTATTTCTTTAATTTTAAAAAGATTTTAAAAAATGTTTAAATTGAGTTTTAAAAAATATTTTAACATTAGTTAAAAGCAACATCAACCTTTCAAAATGTCCGTGTGAGATTGTCATTGCCTAGCGCTTTGAAAATTGTATAATTTGGACCAATCAGATTAGCCATGGTAATTAAGAAATGTAATTTTTGTGTTTATAGTCGGACAGTAATTATCAAATCACGGAAGACCAACCAGAATACAATTTAGTTGCATTATTTGAGTTCAGCATTGTTCTCCGCTGTTAAGCCCTTTACTTTTACAAAACACGTATGGAGAAGTTAATTTGAGTTTTCAATTTCAACTGAGAAGGGTACCTACAAGTAACAGTATCATCTTATGAAATTTAACTACTGCTAAACTTTAATTTACATGATCTTATTTTTATATTAATCTCAGTTATGACATTTTTCCATAAATGAAATATCAAAATTAATAATAAAATGAATGGAAATACAAATAACACAGTAAAATGTAATAAATGTACATAAAATTATAGTATTTTATGTACACTTCTGATAAAATTTCATAAGAAATGTACCTAAATTAATTAGATACCTTTTCTTATGAAATTTAATCTCACTATTAACAGTCTTGTTTTTTAATTTCTTTATATTTTCCATAAAGCATCGTAAACGTAAAAATGAAAGCTAAGTACAAAAAAAAAAATAAATAAATAAAAATAAAAAATTAGAGCGCTGAAAGTTTTCCTTAAAAGTAACAAGGTAAATAATTTGTTCACTTAAATAATTTCACTTCCTTCCATCCGTGAAAGTATTCTCCTCCCGTAAGTTATCTAAACGTCATGAATGTGCCTTCATCAATCGTCAAGCGACGCAAAAAGTTATGACCTGCTTTGTTTTATTTTCAAATTACATTTTTTCAGCGCAGAAGCTAAGTTAAGCGTGGTTCAAAATATTTTAAATATACAGTATAATATCTGTTTTTATTAAAATCGGTTTTGAAAAAATGATAATTGACTTTTAAAAGAATATCAAAGTAAGATTTTAATCTTGTTTATCAAATCGAAAAAAATGATTGAAAATGATTATCTGCCCTTTTTTTTGACCAAAAAAAACAATATTTTTTAACGAAAATTTCAGGCGTGCTAGAACAATTAAAAATGTAAAAAAATACCCCGAAAATACTTTGATCTTTCCTCTTTAATAATAATATGAACATTAGACGATAAAATTTTGTTTTAAATCAAGTTAAAATCTTTTTTCATCATGCTATGCTCTTTTGTTTACATTTTCGTGGGTGAATTCTCCCCTTTCATTCTCACGATGTGTCTTAATCGTGTTTCAAATTGATTTTATTAAAAACAACTGTATTTTTTCCCATTTTCGGCCCCATTAGAACCACCACAAGGTAATTTTATGTAGTCCTGTGAAGTTTTGTTGAAATCGGCTAAAAAATGTAGGAAATTTGATCCAACATATAAACGTTACAGACACACACACACAACCTGCGTTTTATAATAAGTAAGATGTTAACAAAGACGATAGAAGCATAGAAAAACTTGGGTTTCTACTAAAGACTGTTTCTTCTTTTATGGTGTCTGTAATGAAACAAAGTTCTCAATGTGTCTTGGGTATGTTTTTCTTTTTTTGGTTCAGAAGTTTGGATAAGTAAGGATAACAATGGTTAAAATGGTCACACTCAAGTCAGCTTTGCGCAGTGTTGGAATGTCCAAATTACCTACTTCAGGAGTATGGCTGTAAGGCTTATCCAAACAATGTTGTTGGAAAGAGAAAGATTCTGTCTTTTACAGAAGTGGGGTCGTAAAATTATGTAGATGACCAAAAACTGTTTCCAGTTCCTTTATAACTTACATCATGGGAAAATGATTTTTTTATTCTTTATTTTCCCACAGGACTAAACACCAGCAGATTGTAATAAAAATATGAAAAAGAAAAGTAGAAATAGCATATTGGTGATTGAAAGTGGTCAAAAACATGTAGTCTTGCAGAACAATAGTGGCAGGTCCATGCAGTGATCTGGAAAACCTTAAGTTGCTTTCTTGGAAATTATGCTGGATTATTGATTACTGGATTGATGACAGCAAACATCTATATTTAAATTTTGAGTTTATTACCA